TTTAAAAAGCAAACTTCACATTGAAAGCTAGCTTTTCAACTGTAGAGCCATAACCTGTAACTCATTTAATAGCCAGTGTTGATAAGAAATACAGTCGTGAGGGGTAACTATAATAAAACACGCTGGAACAAGGAGTAATCATATTTATCAGAATCCCACATTATGTTATGGCTTTGTATTAGAGATTAATGATTTGACAGAAAGAACCCAAGCAAGCTCACCTTGTTAGCAAGGCAGTAGATGATTAAATAATACTTCAGAGCAAAGCAAATTAAGAGCCTCAGCTGTCTTCTGAACACAAAGAATATAGGATGATGTTCATGTTTCAGGACACAGAATCCAAATCCAGAAATTTGAAACAGAAAGGAGGACAAAAAAAATGCAACTCACAGTACTTCCTTGTGAAAGGCATAGAGATAAACCCTTTCAGCCTTGATACAAATGAGAAGTAACACATCCATCACCAGCCTGCTAGGGGAACAAGCAGAAGGGATGGTGAGACTGAAAGCATTATATGCAGAGCTTGTCAGACTGCAGCAGGGGGTAACACCATTCTTATGAGGCTCCACAGCTGTCAATATGGCACAGCCAAGGCCAGCAGTCAAAGGTTTTAATGGGGGAAACAGCTGTAACTGAAGAAAATCCAAATGTACCTCTCAAACCATCTTGAAACATTTGTATTTCCATACAACACAAACCTGAGAGTTAAAAACTGTCAACGAAAAAACTGAGTGAAGCAAGGACCACTCTAAGCCAGCAGTTACTAAGATCTTTCTTAGTAATCGCTAGATGATATTCAGAGCTGAATATGGAGACAAGATCAATCATTACAGGCATAAGAAAATAAAGCATAAGGGAATTACTTCTGGTACAATTCACTTGAGACCTGGGGGAACATCACAGTTTCACATCTCTCATGTTTTAAATGTTCTTGGGGGTAAAGAGCCACAGAGGAGAAGTCTACAAGAGCAGTTCTGCCAGAACACAGTCACTAAAGGAGATTGCTTCATGCTTTCTTTTTTCTGCATCCACAGATTTAATGAAGAGTGTTGGTTTAGTGTAAAGAGAGCCAAATTGCTTCTGACGGAAGCAGAGGGGCTCCATTTATTACAGCAACCCATAATTTCATAGCTGGGGCAGCTCAGGGACAGGCAGGAAATCAGAGGTTCTTTGAATATGCTGCCCTCATATTGTCTTAATGGCTCTGAACAAAGGGAGCCAAGATATCCTTGGCATAGGCCCAATAAGTACTTTGTGTTATTCCAAGGATGGACTTGGCTTGGGGGAGTTTCATTTGTTGTGACTTGTTGCAGAATTTGATTTTTATTATTATTTTTAATATACTTTGTTTATTTCCATGTCTTTGACGCTTTCCAGAGCTGCTCTTTGCTCATTGTTGATTTAAATCAAGGATTTCCTGGGTCTGTGTCACTTCTCCCTGAAAGCCTTCAGCAGGCCCATGCTAGTGCTGCTCTTGGCTGTCACCTGTGGAAATCTTATTCCATTTTCTAATCTTAAAATTGGAAATGCTCTTGGAAAAGAGAAGCTTACCATTTGGGGAATAAAATTTAGGATGCATTTACATTCCCAGCAGTTGTCTGAAAAGATGTGTGGATGTTGCTCCTGCAGTGATGTACATGTCCCCACCAGCAATGTCAAGACAGAGCAGGGTGACATTATACTCCTCTTTTTCAGGTAGCCAAAGGGGCTGGGCTAAACTTGTGCACTAATTCCAGTTCAGATGGAGAACTAAATCCGAACTCAAGGTGAAATTGCTTCAATTAAAAATCACAGGATTACTGAATCACAAAAAATCAACATGAAAGAAATGATACCAGGCATTAGTATTGTGTAGGTGACTAATAGTATTGTTTTAAACCCTTTCCAGTTCTCTAGAAATTAAACTAAACCAATTTGTAGCCCCCCAAAGTTAGACAGCACTTGCTAGTTTTGAAATAGACATGCAGTAGTTTATGCAGAAGTGGCTTGGGGTGACCTTTCTTGTCACTTTCCATATTCATCATCTTAGACAAGCAAAAATCTCTTTAGCTTTTTGATAAGGAGCCATGGTGCTCATCTGCATGGTATCCTCTCTGGAGAGGCAGATGTTCTCCTTGCCCCTATCCAGATAGGGTAAGCCAAGGCGGGAGCACTGGCACTTCCTTTGGGCACTCTGTCCTTCTTTATTGCTGCTGTGGAACTGACAGTTCAAGCCTCATCCATCCGTGGAAATGTGTATTGGGTCATTGCTACCTAGATGTCTTGGCGTCTACACAGCTTAGCACAGCTATTTGCTGTTTTTTCTCTCACTGCGCCATAGTGCCAGCTAGGAACAAAGCATATTTCCAACGCAGGAGGGATCAGCCTACACTTAAACTACCGCTATCAGAAATGCATTACACTTGTTTTTGGCTGCAAGTAGGCTTGAATCTCAGTTTTTATACAGAGATCAATACTGAGTGTGTGTATAACTGCTACTGCTCTCAGTTGGCAGAAGGCACCAATAATCTCTGCTACTTGTTGAGCTAATACATTTGTCACTCCTCATTAGCTTGTAATAGCTTTTACTGCTACTGTTTTTTTTTTTAAGGCTTAGGATGGAAAATACATATATTTTTGCTACGTAGGAACAACTCATCTAGATATGTTTCCTAGCTCTTCCCTGGAGGAGGTAATTTTTAACAGTGAAGAAAAATGCAAGACTCTTCATAATTAAAATAAATAACTTGTTCTGCAAGCCGTAGGCTTAGACAGCATTTTTAATCTTCAAATTAAAAATGTAACAAAAAACCTCTTGACTATGGAGGATGAAAATCAAACTGATGTAAAAAGTATGCTTGAAATCAAGACACATTTAATATCTCATCATTTATGGTCTGTTTTGGCTTAAGATGTCTTATTTAAAATCTATTCTCGTTCTGTTTCCATGTCATCTTCAATCAGAACAAAACAAAGGCAGAAACGGTTTTAAATGTTAAGATCATGATCTTCAGTGCTGGCTTTGTTGCTAGAAATTAAATTCTTACCCAATCCATTAAAGGGCATTGGTTTCCCTTGTCATATCTAGTTTTGATCATGAGAAAGAAATGGGAAACAATAAAACCGGACATAATAAGAAACAGATTTTCAGCTTTCTGCTTGTTTCTTTTTATTTTATTGGTTTTTCACTTTTGAAAATATCTGAGTAAGAGTTAACTTGATGGTCTGAAAAAAAAAGAAAAATAAAAGACCTTTTCTCAATTCATGATGGAAAACTTCGCCTTTAAAACAAGAAGCTATATAAATAGTAGTGTGCTATAAGAGTGCTGATGTGGATTGAGTGGCATAAGATCCTGGTGGTGGCTGGCAATATTTCAAAGGGAGACTTACAAAGTTTGCAAGCAGATTCATTTCTAAAAAGACTGTTCAGACTGGATGAAGTCTAGCCTGGATAGGCTCCTTTCCTGAGCTACTTTGTCTCACTGGGAACGTTCACTGAGTCCAGGTCCTGAATCTCCCTGCACACATGACAATTTATCTGTCTTGAAAGAAAAAGAAGGAAGGAAAGGAACAAAGGGAAAGAAAGGAAGGAAAAAGGAAGGAAAAAGGAAGGAAAAAGGAAGGGAAGGGAAGGGAAGGGAAGGGAAGGGAAGGGAAGGGAAGGGAAGGGAAGGGAAGGGAAGACAAAAAGAAACAAAAAAAGAGTCTAAGTAGTCAGAATTGTAACTGATATGAAGAGCAGTGCTATCTGTCCCCTTACAAAGTAGAATAGGAGAGATCACAGAATCACAGAATTGCCAGGGTTGGAAGGGACCTCAAGGATAATGAAGCTCCAACCCCCCTGCCACATGCAGGGCCACCAACCATCCCACCTAATGCTAGACCAGGCTGCCCAGGGCCCCTTCCAATCTGGCCTTGAACACCTCCAGGGATGGGGCATCCACAACCTCCCTGGGCAGCCTGTTCCAGTACCTCACCACTCTCTCTGTAAAGAATTTCCCCCTGACGTCCAGGTTGCTGGACCTGCTGCTCACCAATGTGGAGGAAATATGAAGCCAAACAGATGTGCCTGGTTTAAAATCTTCTGAAATGGGTTCTGTAAGTGGAGGAAAAGGGTTAAGAAAACTGAAATTTCCATTCTACTTTGTTCTCCTTCTCTTCAGTGTCAAACAAGGTCAAGACTATTGCCTATGCAGTTTGGTGTTGCATTAGCAACACCTTGCTTGCAGGCTTAGCAAGGCATTCCTTACAACATGGTTTTCCAGGCAGAACTGGACTCTACTCAATTAGTTTGTTTCAACAAAGCACTACACTATGATGGCATGCGGTAAATGCTGAATTAGATCGTCAGTGAATAAATCACATAACTGCATATTTAGAAGTGTCCCCTTCAGCAAGCATTCACAGGCAGCACCACAATTGCACTGACCAGGCATATCCCAGGCTGCCTGAATGCGTGCACAGCAATGAGCAATCTCCTGGAAAATTGGCCCTATGAGACAAGGAGAAGAATTGGACATATTTTAAAGTTTAGAGTTGGTGATCAAGAGTGACCATCCCACTGTGCATTCTTCTGCCCATGACTGCCTCAAATTACTCAGCAAAGGTAAATGAGCCTAGAAAGAAGGAAAATGGTTGAAACTGCCTTAAAAGATGTATGTGACTTTGCTGGATTTTTGAGACTTTGGAGATGTCATTTCACAAACTATTAGGGGGAAGTTCAAGGAAATCTTTGCTAGTAAAGGAAAAAAAAAATAACCTAATCATAAAAACCTAAACAAGGCACAGCTCAGAAGGAAAAAAAAAAAAAAGGAAGGAAGAGGTAGTGGCAAAGGTTGAGGCTTTGGAGCAGTTACACCTCTATCTGTGAACTCCTTCAGAAAGCTGCTGACAGAGCTTTGGCATCTGATCATCTCCTAACTGCTGATTAACATAGCACTGTTTTATATTTAACTCAGGCCAGAGCAGGAGGGGCTGGGGGTGGGGTTGAGTTGCTTAAAAGGGGAGCGCAGCAGGAACAATGTTCTTCTGTGTTGGTTCCCTCGGTCTCTCTGCCCCGCTGCATGCCTTTTGATCATTCATGTTTCCTCTAAATGCATGTTATCTTTAATTAATTGAGTGCCTTGTGGAAAGCAAGGTGGGGGAGACAGACAGAGAACAGCTACAGCTACACAATTAATGTGCAAACCAAGTCTGCTGAGTTTACTGAAAGTAAGTGCTGAAGTGACTTATAAGCTTTAAATGATTCATGTTTTGCTCTGAGAACAAACCTGGGAGCTGAGATGGAAGACATGGATTTTGAGGATAAGAAGTCCAAGAAGTACTGCATCAAGACAAAGCATGTGGCTATCATCTGTGGCGTTGTTGCTGTTGTAGGTCTTGCTGTGGGTCTTGGTGTGGGATTGAGCAAAACCCAGCAATCTCCAGAGTATACAGACCAACCAGATCAGCCAGCAACTTCTCCTCCCACTGTGGATGTAGGTCCCTGTCCTGCTAAAAATGATGATTCTGGAGACTGGAGAAATTTCAGGTTACCAACCTATGTGAAGCCTATCCACTATGACCTGGAAGTGAAGCCTGAGATGGAGGCAGACATTTACACTGGGACAGTCAATATTTCTATTGCTTTGGAACAATCTACCGGCCACCTGTGGCTCCACCTGAGAGAGACTAAGATTACAGAGATGCCTACACTCAGGAAATCCTCAGGACAGCAAATTGCTCTGACTGACTGTTTTGAGTATGAGGCACAAGAGTACATAGTGATGAAGGCAGAAGTGGAACTTACTGTCACCGATGAAAGCGATCCCTATATACTCACCCTGAAGTTTCAAGGCTGGCTGAATGGTTCCCTGGTTGGCTTTTATAGGACCACCTACACTGAGAACGGAGAGACTAAGTAAAGCAGATTTTATTTTATTTATTAAACTTTATTCTCTATTCCTGCTTTCTAAGATCTGCTCTTTTCCTGTGTCAGCTTCACAGACTTGTCTCTCACCAACTTGCTGATATTTCTGAGCTGTTCTTTCTCATTCCCATAAGGAAGATGTTGTATTTAAAACCTCTTGGCTGTTGATAAGATTGGGCAAGAGAGTTGGGGGCTTTATTTATTATTTTGAAAATCCTTTTCAAACTACCAGTCTCAGGTTGTGCTTGAGTTTTGCAGAAGGCTCCCTCAGAGAGACAGAGGCACTGAGGCCTGTTTTTTATCTCTGTAGTCCAATAAAGAGAATATGGCTCTCACCACTCTTTCCTGTCATTTCCCAAGGTAGTAGTTTTGGTGTGAAACACTCTTGTGATAGTTTTCCTGACATCGTGCTTCCTTGATGTTGCAAGCCTGAGGAATGTCTAAATTCTGTCACTCCTGCAGCTGGTTTAAATTATGAATTAGGGACATCCAAACTATGAAGATTATCCTTGACTTGGAGTTTCTGTGCTCCACATCCCTTTTTTTTTTTTTTTTTTTGTTCTAGTATATCAATAGTTATTGAACAGTTAGGAGCATTTAACCTCATTTCACTTTCCAGATTTGTAATGCTTCAGGGGGATCCTGAAAAAGCTATTGTTCATGTTGAGGCAGTTCTTTTCAGTTAGTATACAGGGAGGACACAATGCCATCCATTTTACAATACTTACATTTCTGACATGATTTATTCCAGCCTTTACATTTAGAAGATAACTCGGCTAGACTTTCCTAGGGCCCTCTAGCAAGCCAAACCTGTTTTCCAGACACTTGTTTGCCCTCCTGGGACAATGGTGTCATGTGTGAGTTGCATCAGTTCCATACAGCTGCTGGCAGGCAACACTGGAAGCAGCAGCAGTGATTGGCACCAGCAGCAGCAAATCCAAGAGGCAGAGGAAAAAGCAAGCACTCATTTTTCATATGTAAACATGGTTATCAGATCTGGGAAGCAATCATGTGGAGAACAGCATGAAACCCCACCAATTCTTCTCTTGCTCCTCCAACTACCACATCAGCATTGTTCTGATTCAAAGATTTCTTGATTTTATACAGTGAGCAACTAACACCTTCACAGCAGTTTTAAAGTGTAACCTGTTAGAATTTTTATACATTAGGGTATGCTACTTCCACCTTGTTGAAGAAAACTTTGATATTGGGTGAATTATCCCATGTTTGTCACAGCAACAGAACAGCAGGACCAGAACGCAGGTCTCCTGAGTCACAGAGCAGGAGAGGCGATTGTCCATTCTTCAGACAGTGTAGAAGGACCAAGCATCTAAGGGTAGAAAGAAAGGAGAACTTAATAATCTAAAAAAAAAATCTTACAATGTGAGTATACTTCATTGAGTTCCTATTCCCTGACCTTAGCAAGAAGTCTGAAAATGCTCAAAACAAAAAGGAAGGTGTGTGAGTTTGTTTATTAGGCTTGAGAAGGATTCTAATGGGAATGAGTGAATGGTGATTTCTGAGATGCTTTCAATGTGGTTAAGTTTAGGTAGACTGTCTCTGAGGCAGAAGAGACCATATACACGGTAGTGGTAAGTACAGCTTTGAAATGAGAGCAACCACCAGCCAGATTTCAAGCTGCTACTATTTGGCAGAAGGGTTGGACTTGAAGATACTTGAAGAGACTTAGAAGTCTCTTCCTGCCTAAATGATTCTATGACAGTTTAAGGAAGGATGGTGAGGAAAATGTTTTCTTACCTGTTAAAAATATGTTTTGCCTTGGCTTTCTACTAAAAACTAGTGCTGACTAGCATTAAATTTTTCCTGACATTTTCCTGAGGCAGATATTACCCTTGCAAAATTTCAACCCAAATGGGTACAAATTGGATCAGGTGACAGCAAGTTTCAAGAAAGTCTACTAATAGTGGATGCAAGAGAGAAGGGAGCTGAGGTGAAAATTAGGGCCAGTTTGTAATTAACCTATGCTCCCAGCCCTTCTGGGCAGTATTAGAAGCAGTGGGACCTTTTGAGAAAATTAATGGTCCTGGAAGTCAGCTTCCAGGATAGAGCTATCTATTTGTAAGGGCAAAGGTTTGCCAAAGCATTGCTGTAATGCCTTTTGTTTACAAAGTGGGCAGAAGTCCAGACTCTTCTGTTGCTTAGATTCAAATCTCCCATCACGTTTTGTGGAAAACATGTAGATCTGTGATGAACGTGCCTGCAAGTCCAGGAACGTTGAAGTGGATTTGCAGATACCTTGGAAACACAGCTGCTTAAATTGATGTAGAAAAGCAGGTAGGGAACAGGAAAGCAGAAACTTTGAGAATGAAGGTTTTAGGCATAGACCTGCCTAGATTCTCCTGAGAGTGCCTGAATCCAGCTGTAAGCACTGAAGTCTTTTCCTAAAGCTATTCCTCTGTCTCTGGGCACTTCATTCCCCACTGATGAAAGGGGAATGTCTTCCCCTATTATAATTAATTTAGTGAGTATGAATATGTCACAACAGTTTTCAGATACTGGGGAAAGGCACAAGAGTTTTTGTATTATTGATTCTTTTAACTCACCAGCTCATGTCAATGAATGTGCTAAAATCTTCTGTTATTTTTGCATAGATATTACAGACAATAGAATCATGTCAAGACGTCTGATTTTGATTTTACATTGCTATTTGTGGCAATTTATGGTTTCCCTTTTATAGGAATTCTATCTGTCCTCCATAAGAGTGGAACAAGAGGCTTGTAAATGAATACTCAGTTGGGCATATCTCTAACATAAGAGGATCTGCATTTAGAACTTTATTGATTGGAGAAAGGCAATATTTTGTTGTTGTTGTTGTTGTAAGGAAGTGACACTCCTGCCTCTGGCTCAGGAGCAGTATTTTCTCAAAAGAAGCAATGAATACAAACTTAAGGAAAGGCTCGTAGAAAAAAAACCCACACACCTCATTTAGCTCAAAGGGGGAGCTTTTTATACTAGAACCTTGTTTTGGAATAATAATTAAAAAAAAAAAAAGAATAAAAGGATATTAATCATAGTTCTGAGTGCAGCACTGTTCTATTTTGGGAACAACAGCTGGATGCAATCTCAGCCAGATCTTCACTCCTTATTACTACTGTATTTACAACCGCTACCTCCAGTTCATATTTAAAGTTCTGAGTATCAAAAGCAAGTAGAAGGGTGGAAGCCACCATGCAGTGAAGAAAATCTTATCTAAAATCTACATAACACAGCTTGAAAGGAAATTACATCATCACATGTTTTTAGTGCTACTTCAGTGCAGGCCATATCCTGGATTTCTCATATAGAAACGGCAGTGCTGAGATTTTGCAATGCTGGTATCTGTTTGCCTCCACAAATATATGAGGATAGATAATCACCTTCTAGATCAAAAAAGCTATCATAGTGTCATCAATCTTTAGGAACAAGATATAAATGTGCCAAGATATATAGCCAAATTTTTAAGCAATAGACGTGAAGCATTGCCCTGAGGACTTGGCAGTTAACTTCATTGTGAAATAGCTTTCTAATCCAACCAAAAGTAAAGAGTGAGCTCAAACAGTTTACCAAGCAAATGAAATTCTACTGAGCCTGAAGTTAAGGTGAATGTTCATTATGCTTTCTGACCATTAACTTTAGTTACTATTCCAGTGATCTCCAACAGGCTTGTAAATGAACCTTGTTGCTTTAAGTTCCTAATGACCAGTTTAGTATTTAAGCAACACAAAGAAAAGCCAAAGGCAACAGAAACATTGAAAACTTGGTTGTAAAGTGAGCTTGTAGTCTAACTGCAGATCTGTAATTTACGATGTACACTTTTAATTACTTTTCAGAAAGAAAAACTACCTTAACATATTCAGAGCAGCTGTAGAATTGCTGTCAGAAAATGCCCAACATTCCAGATTAATTGAAGAAGCATCTGCATTCTCTTTCACCATTAATCACTGAAGAACACACTGCCACTGAACAGTTCATTAATGGGGGAGTCTAATGGCACTATGAGAAGCAAGCACACAATATGAACTTTCACAACCTTCACCTTATTTTTTTCCATGGCTCTTTATTTTCTAGTTCCTCCAGCAGTTTTTGCAAAAGTGAGATATCTCTCTAAACCCACCCCAACACAATGAACACAGCATAAGTTCTGTACTAGGATGTTTACGTAGACTTTCCATGCTTTCCCCAGCAGTTTTCTCATTGGAGTCAGGGAAGTGTAACAGCAGCAGGAGATTAAGTGTATTTAGTAACTATAGAGAAAGAAACACATAGGCAGGGCAAGGTTTCAGGAGCACTTAGGCAATTCCAAGGTGTCTTCCTGGAGATGTTCAACACTCCATTCCCAAGATTGGTGCAGAAATCAGTGGGAATGCTCAACAGAAAGGTGAGCAAATTTTTTACCACCCAGAAGGGGTCATTTGTTTCTTATTGTCTGGCTCCTAAAAATATTCCTTGAAGAGTAATTGTCTTTAATTTTTGCTTTAAACCCTAGAGGATGTTGATGACAGATTTTGTGGTACACGTGTTCCAGTAGCCTATACGATGTTAACTTGTGCATTTGTGATTTCACTTATTTTTATGAATGGGCAAGTATACAAAAATATTTGTATTTGATTTTAGTTCATAAAGTTGCTAAATACTTATGCTTACAGATAAGATTCAAAAAGTATGCAGCAAAGGCTTAGAACAATCTGCCAATCTGTTGTTTTTTTAAGGAGCATTGCAGCTACTGATCACGAGCCAACAGATGCACGGAAATCATTTCCTTGCTTTGACGAGCCCAACAAAAAAGCAACTTACAATATATCTATCATCCATCAAGACACATATGGAGCACTTTCAAACATGCCAGTACAGGTATGTATTTCCCAACTTTATTGCCTACAAGGAATCATTCTGCAAAGCCAGTGGATCACAAAGCCCTTGTGTTTATGGACTCTACCACCTAGACACAGTAAAACAAATGGTTAATAAATATTCCATAAAATACAACTGATTGTTTGGTTAGAAATTCCAGCAGCCAGTCAGCACGCAACATAACAGTACAAAGCCACATTCGAAGCAGATATGACATACATCTTGTCTTTAGCTAGCTGGCCCTTTCCTCTAGATGAGTAAGCCCTACTAAACATATGCAGGTAGTGGCAAGTTCTTCACTCAAAGCAGGTGGACTCTGAGAAGAAACACTCGAATACAGCAGCTTCCTTTGTGGGCAGTCCCATAATAATCACTAACTATATAACGTTACAAAGCAAAGACTTGCTGATCACAACCTAGTGGTAAAGGAAGCTGCTAGCAGGAAAGTCTAGTACTGTTATGTTTAGTATCACAGAATCTAAAAATCCCTCTGTCAACTCAGGGCTATGGACACTTGTCAGTCCACCCCAACAGTAATTTTCTAAATAATCTATTTCTTGAACTGCTGCATCACATTCCAAGTTTGGAATGAAATTCAGTGGCATCACTTATCTATCTCTGGGCACTCTGGAAGAAGACTGAATGGCTTTCAGCAGAGACAGCTTCAAATGAATAGCTTAACTGAATGTGTAGTCCAGTGTGTAATTTCTAAAGAATGTGTTCTGAAGTGGGAGATACAAAAAAAAATAAAAAACAACAAAAAAAAAAACACCAACTTCCAGCCTTGGAGATGTTGATATTTGCATCTTTCCAACCGCTCTCCATCCAAAATACAAACAAAGGTCTGCTATGCTGTGTACTTTTTTATTTAAGGAGTTGCCCAGATCTTAACAATGCACTTGCAGTGCAGCTGAGAGAACTACTACCAATCTGACACAGCAGAGACTCACAGACCTCTTGCAAATAATTTAAATCTCTAACCTATTGTTATTAAAAATATTTTTAAGATACCCAAAAGAGAAGCAGGTGCTTTTGTAAACAGCACATGTGAAAGGAGAACATTTGTGGTTGCTTTCCTTAAAGACCTCAGATAAGTGAAGGCACCAGCATGGGATGTGAGGGTGTAAAACCAGATGTTTTCAAGATTCAGTAGCTTTTGAGATTTACTTTAAATCTTAAAGTGTGGATCTTGTCCCCAGTACAAACATTAAGCTTTCAAAGGGCTAGGTACCACTTGTTAATTAATTTGCTAAAATCCAAATACAGGCAGGGAAACACGATGCTGCATTCATCCTAGGGTTTGACTAGAAGACAACAGCAGGACCATTTTTCACTTGGTGAGATTACAAGGTTGGTTGCTCCAGGGTGAGGGATCTCTGGGGAATCAGTTCAATAGACATAATGTAGCACAGGACACACTGTACATTACATATTCCATAACAGCTTTGGTCGTGTGGAGCTTTATAATCCACGTGGCAAAATCAATTCAGCAAAGTCAGGACCATGTACAGTTCATTTTCATTTCTCATTGGAGTGAATTTTGTTTAACCTTTTTTTCAATGAGACTCTGACTTTGTTGAAGGCAGAAAATAAATTGGAGTCAAATAGTGAAAAGTAGATTGTGAATATATCTGTGAAAAAAATTTTACTCATGGAATCATATTAGTGGTAACATCCAGTTTGTATGCTTTATTTACATTGCATTTATAACAAATGAACCTCATAAAGTACTGAATCTCCAGTACACTAGTGTCTTCTATACATTTTGCCTTTCTCCTATTTTAGTCATCCAGACAAAAGCTCAAAAAATTATCAGACTGTTAATAGTAGATAATGGATAGCAGAAATTAGTATTCAGAGGATGAATCACATAAACAACATTTATGAATTTTTTCACATAGTTCAGCCAAGAAAACCTAGAGTGCTTTATAATTAATATACAAAATAAAAGCTACTATCATGTCTTAAACAACCCACCAATTATCAGTGCTAACAAGTTCGAGATAGATTTATTAGTGCAGACTTTAACCTAACATCTCTGCACTCCCTGATGCTTACATGTTGCGCAGATTTAAAAGAGGACAGAATCCAGCATTTCCTCCGACCAGTCCACAGGGATATTATTTTATGCAACTATTTCAAGAACACAGCATGTTGAAATACAGTGTAAAACTCCTGCTGGCAAAATTCCTATGCACGTGAATGATTTCAAATCATTGTTGCAAAATTAGAATCAGGTAAACTTATGTAATGGAGAAAAACAAAGTCTCTTTTTGTGTATTTTGTCTGTTCTCATGCCATCAGAAATGGGATGCCAAAAGAGGTAAATCTGGAGAGGTGATTTATCATATCTATGTAGTCTTACCCCTCATAAAAATATTATACTTTTTTGCAAATGTTTGCAATTTCAGAATCAATTCTTTCTTCATTTCTGCAGGAAACTGTATCACTGGGTAATGGCTGGAATCGGACAACTTTTCAGAAGTCAGTTCCCATGAGCACTTACTTGGTATGCTTTGCAGTGCACCAGTTTGAGTGGGTAGAGAGAAGATCTAATAGCGGAATACCTGTAAGTTCTATTACAGACCAAACACAATTCAGATGACAGATATACTTTAATTTGCACTTTTATTTTTAAAGAATCAGCTCTTTTTATAACATAAGCAGGATTTTTTCCTTTTCTATAGTATATTTTACATGGCAGATCAAACTAAGTGTTCACAGTGGTCCATCCAGTCTTCTCTACACCCAGTATTTTTCAGTCTTTCTCCCATCTCAGTGAGGTCCCAGTTGATACCTCCCATACAGGCACATGGGGGAGGAAGGAACAGTAGTGTTCCAATCTCATCCTTGACTTGAAACCCAGAGGCTGAGGGAATGTACAAATCCAAGGATGCAAGAAATACACAGAGATACAAACACTCTATAGTTTTTAGAAGCTTAAGAGGTATGAATACATACTGAGTGCATCATCTGTCCTATTTACAGCGATGGTAGCAAAGAACTACCATGCTATGTGCAATTGCATGCTGGCTACAATATTCTTCATTTTACAGCAAATGTGGTAGCTAATAGTTGCTACACTGCAAGTACAAACACACACAGAAGCGACAGTGCATGGGTATTTGACAGGTACCCTAATGATGTATTTTTGAATCTGGATCCATAAAAGCCAAGCTCCTTGATTTAGATGCAACAGAAACAACTGCTTCAATCCAGTTCTGGCTTGGGTTCAGTAAGAATTTTCTGAAGGTGCAGCTGATCAGGCATAAGCAGATAAGTTTGAATCTCAAACTGACAGCATAGAAAGAATTTGCTCCTCAACCTAAGCTCCTACTCAGCCTAAAAGTAGTCGGGGATGCTCAGCCCACTGTTGGTTAATTTATAGGTTTATTGTTTTTCCTCGTGAAACAGAGGGTGATGCTAGAGCTGTGTGCCCTGAATGCTTCCCTTCTCTCCCCTCAACGGTGTGACATGTGCTCCTGAGGTCCAGCTGGCAGCTCTTCCCTCTTCTAGCATGTGGAAGCTAGAGCATAGCCCCAGCTATCTCACTCCTCCCTTAGCTTAGCAAGCTGTTTCTGAGTTTCTCTGTCCAAAGAAGGATGGAAATTCAGGTTGTCCATCAATATGAAAACTTGCCTTGTGTATAGCACCAGAGTGCTGACCCAGCTTTCCATAAAGACTTCCTAGCACAGCACTGTGCTGAGGCCTCCGCCCTCAGCACCTCCGCTAGCATCATGCTCTAAACTTATTTTTAATTCTTGACAACCGAACTGAAACCAAATTATACTTAGTCAAAGAAACAGAGTCTGCCTTGAGATAGTGATGCAATATTCCTAGATACCTGCTATTTGGTTTTGCTTGCAAAATAAGAGTTTTAGGATGTTCAGCAGCATGGTTCTGTTAACAAGATGCTCTTAGGCTTGGCTGCTCCACTCACTGTCAGGAAAAGGACTTTGACTTTTTGGCCCCAATAGATATCCTCTAGAGTTTAGCTATTTCAAAAACAAGAATTTTGCAGCTGTAGAACCATAGCGTTATTTGGATTGAAAGAGACCCTTGAGATCAACCTGAACACCAGGTCCCATCACTGAAGCATGCCCCTTACTGCCACATTCACATGGTTCCTAAATACCTCCAAGAATGAGGCCTCCACTTCCTCCCTGGGCAGCCCATCCAACACTTGACCACTCTTCCTGAAGAAATTCTTCCTAATGCCCAATCTAAACTGCCCCTGGTGCAACTTGAGACCATTTTCTTGTGTCCCATCCTTTGTCACCTGAAAGAAACCTGAAGAGTACTTTTGTAGGTTGTGTTGTAGGAAAAAAAAAACAATGCAAAAAAGAATTGTTGAAGACACAAATGCAGAAGAAGGCAGAAAAACTTTGCTTTCTAGGTATAGAAATTCACTTATTAAGTGCTCATCCATGCCACGCTTCAGATTATGGAAGATTATGGATTTGCTTAGCTGAGCAAGGAGATATTCAGATCTGTTGACTGTTGGGAAGAACATTCCATAGTTTGCTATATAAACCGTTAGCAACAAATCATCTAACAGAAAGTATCCACATGATCCAAATATTTCTGTCATAAACAACAGCGTGTAGCTCACTCACAATACATTATTTAAAAACTCTGCCATCAGCCCTGAAAAATCATTTCCCTAGCAAAGACCTTAATAGAATCCATGGTGGAAAACATGCCCACAGCTGGGAACAACTCTCCTGATCTAATTATCTGTCAGGTACCAAATATCTGCTTCGGAAAATCACAGAGAGATTACAAGAAGAGATTTGAAACTCAAAGTCAGTTCTAGTGCACACTGAAGGTTTTGGAACCCATTAATATGAATCAGCTAGTGGACTGAAGACTGCTAAATTGGGTAAAGAGCTTACTGAAGTAGAAATTACAGATTGTAATTGCAAACTGACCCTGAGGGAAATCCCTTGGCTGGGATGGATTCCCAATTGAATTTCATAAGCTTTTTTTTTTCTTTTTTTTTTTTTTCTTTTTTTTTTTTTTTAATTCCTTTCTTATTTCTGAGCACTTTCCCATCCTTTCATTGGAGGAAGTGTAATTTCATGGTATTGAGACCAATGCGTTGTCAGGCTCAAAGAAGGCTTCTAGGGTAGGGCAGCTCCTTTGCTCAGTTTGGATCCTAAATGCCTGGCTGTAAGACAGGACCGAAGAGTAAACAAGCCACACAGATACAGCCAGAAGAATGTGGCCCATTTATAAGAGACACAGAGCCTACAAAAAGATGCACCAGCTATCCCAAAGCCAGAAAATTCACTCAACACTGCAGACAGTCAGGGACAGGGAAGAGAGCCCATGGTTCCTGCAAGCACAGCGCTGCAGTTCAGCTCTGGGGTTATATACCTAGGAGTACTTGGACAAAGAAATTTAGAGGGGGAAAAAAAAAGACTCTTCTTGAGTTCTGAAGGGAAACTTTGTCTTTCCAGCATGGAGATAATGTCTCAAAAGGCCTTTTCACACTGCAGGACTACTCATCATTGTTATGGATACTGTAAGGACTCCTGGGCTCAAGGTTTCCTATTATTTGACAGTGACAGTCAAAGCAGCCCCAGACACCAAATCCAAGGGTGGAAAAGCCAGCACTCAAGACACCATTTTTTGCCTTCATCGAAGTTCAGATATGTAAAAGGAGCATGGAAATGATCCCCCACTGCACACAGAGCTAAAAGATGTGCCTTCTGAAAGGGATGAGATCTGTCCAAATTAATGAGCAGATCAGATCAAGAGAATTTCCTTCAGGATACTTGTGCAGGTATCCTTCTTGAGAAAACAAGGCCTTATAGAAGGAAAGGCTGGTAAGGCACTCAGGCCCTCACCCAAGTTTTGGAGTGGGGAGACAGCCATTGCCAGCTACTGGAAAGGGGTCTTACCAGTTTTGCAGTGTGCTCAGATAACACTGACTTTGTCTCTCTAATATATTTTTTTCAAATCTCATACATATCGTTTGACATTTAAAACAAAATGGCATTTAACTTTTTTCAATGTCAGGAGATGTAATTTAGCATTCAGGACAGTCTCTTAGAGAAAAAAATGCAGCGTTGTAAGTGTGCACGTTTAATTTTTTTTCTGTGCTTGCTACCTTCTGGTTCCTCTTAACTGAAGACTACTCTAATTGTCTCTCTCTATTTTACAGCTGAGAGTTTACGCCCAGCCACAGCAATTACACACGGCAGAATATGCAGCAGATGTAACAAAAACTGTGTTTGACTTCTTTGAAAAGTACTTTAATTTGAGCTACTCTCTTCCAAAACTAGGTGATTATTAGTACTTACATTTTTCATTTTGCTAATTCACTAATTCATTATGTTTCTCCTACTGTTCCCTGTGCTTAGTGGAGAACAGAGCACGATAGTGTTTGGTTACTACCTGCTAATATTCTTTCAGGATGTAAAATTGTACCCATTTAGTTCTTCAATATCATGGAAAGAGAGTTGGTGTCAGTAACTATTCAGTTAGCAGTTTTCACAGATGAACTGATCCTGGCACAGTTATTTTAGAGTGACTTGTGGAAAATCAGAGGAATCATTGGTAACATCAGCAGAGGAGCATGATGAGCTAAAATAAAGCCAGATTAACTTTGAGAAAAACATGTATCACTTCCATGAGGACTTCTGGAAAAAAGTCGGCCATGAGATAAGTAAAAATATAAACTGCCAGAGAATATGTCATACTATTTACTAATCTCAAAGTGGGTGTTTAACCACATCTTAGAAGGACGAATGTAGACCAGTGTATAATTCAAAGTTGCTACTGCTGGGCTGCCAAAAGACAGAGCAAAACAAGAGCAGGTAAAGTATCAGATGATGCCCATGATTACAAAATAAGCCAAAAAATAAAGTACCACTGGGCATCCTTTAACTTGGGCTATATGGACTGTGGACTTGATTTACACAGTTTGAAGTAATAAAGTCAGGAATGTAATCTGAGTTGTGAAAATGCATTGGAAACATCCTCTCCTAACACCTCCAAAGAGGTAATTCAATCAGGTTCATAAACTTCAACATTTTTTCCCCTAGCCTCTTAACTACAAATAAACACATCTAACAGTCTAACTTACATTACTGTAATGATAGATACCTATCTCCTTTCAAAATATTGGAGGAGTTTACTGGAACTATCCATTTGCATTTCAACAAAAAGTGAATTAGGAAAGCTAGAACAGTACGCTGTCATTTTACACACTGGTCCCTACTAATACCTCATGCTGCATAACCAAGCTTCTATTTCCATAAATGCCTGATGATTTTGCACGTGATTAGAGATCTGTCTGCATTCCAGGGCTAGAAACACCAGGTCAACAGTATCGGAGGGCAGACACTCTTGTAATTTTTCTCAGAACATCTACTTGTTGTATCACAATTTTTGACTTACTGCATTGTTCCCTCAGTAGTCATCTAGATCAAACCTCATGAATCAAATTTGTTTCTGCAAAAAGTTTGAGATATTTCCTCCTGAGTTACGGCATTGCCGTTCTCCTTGCAATCCTCATTTTGAAGCTCTGTGAAGCCCCTTCCAGACTATTGCCTTTGATTCTATAATCACGTTGCTTAAATTAAAATTACTAATTTCTGTCTTCTATTAGGGTGGAGCGATGGCTGTTTGTTCTATTCAGTTTTAAATCCATCTGTACTTTTTCACTCACTTGAATAGAAAGGTGGCAGTCATTATTTGCAGAAGAAAATGCCAGTCCAATTTAATTCACAATTCTCATTTAAACCTGTATTGATTACTGACCATGAAGGAGTGACCCTCACAAATTGCCAGGAGTAGAAGCAGATGTTCACTGCATGGGGAATTTACTTCAGTTAATGCATCAATAAATATCTTTAATACAACACAGTGACAAACAATGACATGCCTCATTATGCTACAGTTAGTTTCAGGTGGTTTACTGCCTACAGCACATCCCCAGATAATACTATTAATTTCTGGAGCCAAAATTAAGTAAGGTATGATATGCATGCTCTCAGAAGATGGCATAGCATCCTGTCTCAGGACAGATCCTCAGCTAGTGCAACTGATTGTAGCTCAGTTAATCCAAGCAGAGCTCAGGCACTTGCTTTAAGCTTCTATAGGCCAGTCCTGTGCTTCTTAAGCAAAGATTATGGACTCAGTCCACAGCAATAAGCCAGAACCATACATGCAAAACATGCATAGCATTTCATAGCAAAACAGGCTACAAAAAAGCAGAAAGAGGGTAATTCAGCTGGCTTAAAAGATACAGTAGTAATCATGTTCTTTTTCTTTCCATACAGACAAAATAGCTATTCCAGATTTTGGAACAGGTGCTATGGAGAACTGGGGACTGATCACATACAGAGAAACAAACTTACTTTATGATCCCAATGAGTCTGCCAGTTCCAATAAACAAAGAGTGGCAGCTGTGGTAACCCATGAGCTCGTTCATCAGGTATGTTTTAGGACACAGTTCATTTTTCAAAGTGTTTTAAATGTGTAGTAGCAATTTTTTAATTAGGAAAGTTGCATTAATTAATAACATCTCGGGACACTCTTTGTGTGCTCACACTTTGATTGCAAACATCACATTAAAACCACTTCCTGTTAGAACTTTACACTACCAGAAGCGCTATTCTGCCCTTGAATTTTTCCTCAGGAAATTAAATGCTTGGGTCCATACGGTGAGCCAGCTTATGAAAATCTGTCTGAAATGCCTTAAACGAACTAATTTGCATGTGCAGATGTCTCTTTTGGGCAAGCAAACAGGAACAACTATACACTCTGGAGGCTGTCTGAAAACATATCTGTACAAGCACAAATCATCAAATCAAGAGGCAGAAACTAAAAATATTCTCATGGCATATGAATCATTAGCAATCTCCCCAGTAATATGTAATTTTATAATAAAAAGTAAGTTTTTAACATCAGACAAGGACTGAATTCCCACTTAAACCCCAGAATTAGGATAATTTTAATCTGGCAACAGCAAGAAATGTAAACAAATATGCTACGTGAAGATGTGAAAATCAGAAATGTACATTTAATACTCAGCTAAAACTACTTCTTTCAATGTTTATAATTACAGTGGTTTGGAAATATTGTGACTATGGACTGGTGGGATGACTTGTGGTTAAATGAGGGATTTGCCAGCTACTTTGAGTTCCTGGGAGTAAGCGTTGCAGAACCAGAATGGCAAATGGTAATTATTTCTGTCTTGTAGAGGGATGTCAGGGGTGGGGGGAGCATTTCAGAAGACCGCACATAATGCTATAATGTGATGGAAAGCACAGCAATGCTAGCAGAATAGCAAAGTGCTAGGCTATAACAAGTGAGGATATGCTCAAATGCAGCAAACACAAAATAAATAATCTGCTTACCCTCAGTAGGTAGAGATCTACAGCAGAACACCCTTCCTTCTACTGCCAGCACTTAAATGAGATCTGGGAAGGAGTGGATCCTGGCTCCATCCTTTCTGGTTACTCAAGTGCATTGCTTGCACCTGAGCTTCCCTGGGTTGGCCCTGCCTTCCCGCCAGGTGCTCAAACACTGGTTCAAGCCATAACTTAGCATTTCCATTACAGCATAAAAATAAGGCAACAATGATGACAACTTAAAATATATTGATAAAAACAAACAAACAAACAAACAACAGCAGTGTGGTATTGTGCGATATAAAGAAAAAGTTGGATTAAACATTTCTACCTCCCTACAATATAGTCTGAAACTAATCAAAATAAACTTTGTAAAATTTTAGTCCACCGGGAACAGTTATTCCTTCTAACAAGTGAAGTATTTAGTTATTATTTTGGCAGGTGGATTCTGTGCAGAGCCTTAGAGCTGTTGTAAGGTTGTTCAAAGATCCTGCACTCGAAGATAGAGAATCTCATTTATTTAGGTTGTTTGGCTGTAGTAACTATTCACAACTTGAAGTGCCTCTAATCTGCACAATGTAAAGTGAGGCAGTGACAGTGAATGGCCTATGGTGCTAGCTGCAGCAAAAACAACTCCAGTTGCTTCCAGGGCTTCCAGAAAAAAAGAGTAGCCTTAAATAATCATTACACTCTGAGTAATGATAGCAGGAAAGTGAGGTTTCTGCCAAACAAATGTGATGGCACATGGTATTCATTTCCCTCAGTTGTCCAGGAGTAATGACATTCTGTATACTAGAAAATGTACAACACATACCCTGGAAGGAAGTAGGGTAGGTGTTGCAGAACTTAAGCCCATCATCAAGTCTAGTGATGACTGGAGCAGGCAGCACCTACCTATTACTCCACAAATATCTCTTCTTATTTTGTTATATGAGGCTGAGGACAAAAATCATTCTTGCATTTCTTTTGGACTCTGAAGTAAGAGATCTGTTGTGCTGCTTCCACAAGAAATAACAATTTTCATTACTGATCCTAGAATTTAAAAGTCCTTTTCATATGTAAATGTCATATTCATTTAAGACTGAGCACCATTTCAGCATTTTCATCCTATGGAGCATAAGGAGAGAAAAACTAACTTGAAATTTAGTCTTGTACAATATCGGTTCAGAAGTGAGTGGATTTTGCTTACAGGTTACTTTATCTTTTAAAAAATGCTAATTACCAGTACAATGGAGAAACCTCCTTCCCTCTCCCCCAGCCCCATTTTAGCAAGAGGAAGCCCTAATGCTTTGAGCTATTGTCACACTGCTCAAATCCATAACAAAGACTTCTTTTATGCCTACTGGGGGCTTTACTGTGGTATGATACACATGGGAAATGGGATCTGCAAAAGGTGATTTATCATAGTTAAGGAAAAATTGTATCCCTGCCATCTCAGAGGTAAAGTATGAATTTGCAAGTCCTCTTTATACAATGTGACATTTCATTCTATTTCCAAATGCCCCCCCCCAGAGAATCTGCAGCTCAAGCTACTTATTTTGTGAAGTATACAGTCCTGTTTTGTTAATCTTCTAACACCTTCTCTTTCTCAGCTTGAACAGGTTTTAATTGATGATGTTCTTCCTGTAATGAAAGATGACTCTTTGCTTTCTTCCCACCCAATTGTGGTTGACGTATCAACCCCAGCTGAAATCACCTCTGTGTTTGATGGGATATCCTACAGTAAGGTAAGACATTCTCCTGCAGTGACTTCGGCAGCAAAGAAAGTGGAGGCTTAGGAGAGGAGATAAAAGTCAGATGAGTTCATAGCCACAGTTCCTAAGCCAGCAGGAGCAGTGTTTGCACAGAGCTTTTCTCTGGGATGTTCCCTGTTATCACTGATGATTCAATCAAAAGTGATGGTGAGAGTAGTCACTGATACCTGCAGGATCTGCTACCAGTAATACTAGAGTTGAAATTAAATTAAGCCAGTCACTAAGCAGCTCCCTCTCCTATCATCTTATGTGTTGATGCAGCCCAGTTAAGTCAAGACACGGTCTAATACAAGGGCAGATGTCCACGTGTCTGCTCTCTATCTTTTCTGGGGCAACTCTATTTTTAGGAAGCAAGGCAGGGAATCAAGCAGTGAAAATAGGAAAGTAATTTTTCATCTTGTATTGCTCAAAGGATCCCAGGCATCCTAGAAGTCTGAACAAATACGGGCTACCTCCAGACTCTACAAGCACTGTCCTTAAACAGGAAGATGTTAGATTCACAGTTCATTGAGTGTTGTGGAGCTCAACTAATCATCTCCCATACCATATTGCTTATGATGCTGATAAACATGGTTGTATTGACAGCTTCCTTATGATTATCTGTGGTTTTTATCTGATGTTTTCACTGAACATGCAAAATCCACCATTGTTAAGTCCCACTTGTTCCTCTCCAAGTTCTCATTCCAATTTGAGAAAAAGTATGTATTTCATTGATTTTAGCTTACTCGTGCTTCAGCTAAAATCTATAGCCATAGGTATTACTTTTATTAGCTAGACTTGATCCATCCATTTCCATCACTTCTCTGTTTTCAACTGTTAAATCCTCTATCCAACAATACAATCAGTATTTATTGCATCATAAATTTCTCACACACAAATCATAAACCATACGGAAACCTATGCTGTATAACACTGACGTTCTTAAATCAAGCTAGTGAAAATCAAGAAAACATCCAGAGTTAAATCAAATACACAGGACCAAAATGTATTTTATTGCCTATGCAAGTGGCACATTTTTGCACAGTCTGAAAAAAAAAAAAAAAAAAAAAAAAAAAAACAGAAAAAAAAATCATAGTTTTAACTCATCTTTTGTGCCTAAATAATTGCCACATGATTTTTTTTATTATTTTTTTTTTTAAGCAAAAACACTTGAGGACTCATGCATTGTTTGGGAACATTCTGCTTGGGATATAATTTGGCTTGGGATATAATTTGGCTTGAATGAGAAAGTCTTCACATAGATTTAGCTCAAATTACTGTTGGTATTTATATATAAATGCATGACAAAATTAACTTGTTTCTTTTTGGTCCTATTTTGGCTTCTCTTTAGCATTTTTCTTAGAAAAACAATCTCCTCATGATAATATCCATCAGTAAACAAATAAAGCATAATTTGGAATGTTCTGTTAGTTTTACCAGAGCAATTACAAGGCTTATACGATCCTAGAAGTCTAATGAAATGCCTCAGGGTCTGTGGAGCCATTGTAGTGTGTTCTGTAAATGAAGCTCTAGCTTCTGCACAATCAGGACAGCATTATGCACTAGGAAAACCATACTAGAACAGAGATGGGTGAATGCAGAATTAATATAAATAATTGTGTTCCAGTTTAATCACCCCTCTTAATGCAGAAGGTCTTGTTAAAATAATAATGATTTTTTAAAAAAATCTTTGTAATTCAAGCATTGATAACCTTTCTAGAAAACAAATATTTAAGAGTTCTGCTGGAAATTCTCTCTTCGGAGCCCCACAGTTTCAGAACCTCCCAGCCAAAGAAGCTTAGGATTAAAAGTTCCACATTTCCACTGTACGCATGCCAATCATATGCTTGGTAATCACTCTGACTCAATCAAAGAAGTAGAGATATCATCAGATGTCAGTTACTCAAGTTAAGGTTGTTTTCTTGAATCTTCCCAAATATTTGAAATATAGAGAAGAAAACACTGGGGTTCCTATAACTAGTAATTTTGTTAGCATGGGTTTTTCCTCATATGCACTCTGTTATTAACTTCAAAGGATGGACGTGGAGAAAAGACTGAAAAGCAACTGTATTAAGATACATCAACTAACTATACATTTCAATTTAAAGGAAAATAAAACTCCACTGGCCCAAATGCTTGCACAAGTGCATAATTCTCCTCTGATTTTTATCATAAATGGGAAGGGATGGTCTGTGAGAGGTTATATCACATAAGAAGTGGCTGACAGATAAAGCTGAGGTACCCTACTGCACACACAGAGCCTTATGATCACAGTTAATCACCAGTAGCCTTATGAAAGAACAGATATTCATTAGTGGCTAAGCTTCATTCAACCATTTACTAAACATACTGTGTGTCAAATAGATTTAAGTTATATATCAGAAAAAGTATTGTGTACTAACTACCTTGACTTCACAACAATAGCTGGTTCTGAGGCATACCTTTTCAGTTACTATCCTTAGACAAGTGCAGCCAAGTTTTAATTCTCAGACACATAAATAAAGGAGACAGGATTTACCAAGAACTCATATATAACATTTATGTTTTCACGGGACAACTGGATTTTTAAACCATTCATGGTATTAGGCTTTCAGCTGCCCTTTGATTTAGTTGAGAAATGAAAACACACTAATCCCCAAATCATATTTTGCATTTTAGATTCGTGTTGCATTGCTTTTCACTTTCCTCATTTTTTGCCTATATTGTTATTTGACCCTCACTGTTCTCTGCTTCTTTCATCTGTATTCCCTCTGTTTCTTTCTTCTTTCAAGGTCCTAGTTATTTCTGTGACACCAAAGTAAGCCACTTCTCTGATCCTAGTTCTACCCTGCTTCAGAAACTAAAGCTTTTACATCAATGATCAGCAAAATTCATTCTGAATATGGAGCTGACATCCCCAGTATGTGATGCCCCCAGCCTTGCAGTGTGTTAGTTCCCTACCTGCTGGGCATTCAGTAGAACTCACTTCCTTATTCACGCTGTTGGGCTGGATGGGACTGACTCCTATTCGAACAGCAACAAGGAGCCCTACTTGTACTAACAGGCAGAATGGTGGAATAGTCACCCCCAGCAGCAGACATCTGATCACTACTAAAGACCAACTCTCACATGCAGAATCAGTTTTGTGCAGGCAGTGCTGCAAAGGAATGAGATAAAACACGCCTTTTGTCAGATGGATAGTTTCTACTTTTGCTTTATAAAATATTCATTCATCTGTTGCTTTTCAGGTGAATGTAAATGCAATGTTAAAGCAGCGTGGAATGACCTTCTTCCCTTTCCCCTCAGGGTGCATCAATTCTCAGGATGCTTCAAGACTGGATTACACCAGAACTCTTCCAGAAAGGGTGTCAGGTATGAGTGGCACCAAAACATTCCAGGAAAGCAGCCCTTCCTCACGGGGCAGTAGCAAAGCCATTATTTAAAAAATGAATATGAGAAATTCTGCTATTAGTGGGAGAAACATTCAGCTTATTTCAGCTCTGAGTGGACAATGTCAAGGTAAAGCTCCACTCTCCCACAAAACAGGAATGCAAACTGCAGGAAGATGTGATAGTCTGCCAATGAGAACCAAAATTTATGACGGCTGATAGCAGAGGAACTTCTTAAGCTGTTGGGTTGATCCTGTTGTCAGCTAGAATTCCTGCATTCAGCTGTAAAGCATGTCTGCAGCTTTATGTGACTAGCCAACCCCAGCCAGCTTTGCAGGAAAACTCTTACAGATGTAGGCTGCTCCATGTCCTGAGACCTGATGCTGGAGCACCCAGCCCAAGGGAGCAGAGGCAACTGGGAGTAGAAAAGGGAGATGTTGTCCAGTTCATAGTTTTCTCTCTTGGAGGAAAAAAAAAAATGTGATGCTACTAAAACTACAGAAATTGAAAATAGCATAGAAAAGACCATCCAGGAATAAGGTTATCTGCTCTTTCCATTGAATCAACATCTGATGTCTTTGGAAAGTTACAATGCAGATTTACCAAGTATGCTTTTAGTTCCTCCCCTTCTGGAAAGCACATTTATGGGCAGCTACAGGAAAGCTGTATTTTCCTTTTTTTCCTTTCATACATTCAGTCAGGACAATCCTATGATATAGTAAAACCGCCTTGTCCACAAAAGATAAAAGCTGCTTCTTTACTCAGCTTTCAAAACACAAAAATAGGTAGCTGTAGCTAACAGTGAGACAAACAGCACCATCTACTGACTAAAACTCATGATGTCCAGTTGAAAGGGTAGGAAAGCATGCATTAAACTGACAGAAAGGGCACAGGAAAGGAACAGTGTTTAAAGCTGGCAGATACACCATTATTTCTTATAATGCTATTTTTTTCTATTCCATTTTGACCACAGCTTAGAGGTGACCAGACTTCTCTGCTTCCACAGCTAGTGAAATCTCCTGAAATAGCTTCCCCATTATAACAACCTCTTTCATTATACAGAAAATTGCAGCAGAGCATGTTGCTATCCATTCAAATGAAATACAAAGAACACACAAAAAGTGCTGATTTTCAGCATTATGGGATACATAAAAAGGAAGTTTATCAGATGAATACAAATCCATTTAATCGTGGTAATACAAGACGGACATATCAAGGGGCTTTATGCTCTGACAGAAACATCTCTTCAATGAACAACTTCATCTTCCCTAATGTTATTTTTGACTTTGCTGGTTTTCTCCTTGAGATGGATATACTTAAGATAATTGCTCATAAGATGTGAAGTTCTCGTCTGGAAAATATGTGTAGATATATGTAGGAGTGTGTATATAGATAAATAAATCATAATGTATTATGAGTGATTTAAAGTATTTCAGTACTTTCCCACCTACAATATTATCACTAGAAAATGCTTCTTTTTATTTAACAGACTTTTCTGAGTATTTCTGAGGAACTTTTCCATACTTTCACCTTAGGCAAAGCTAGAAGCATTGCTTAAAGCAATGTTTGCCTCCTGTACTCATAAAATTAAGACAACAGATCTCCTTTTTTAGAACAGCCTAAAACATTCCAGGGGTACTATACAGGAATTCTGTTGTAGTGAATGCTGCCTGTAAAGATGGAGAAATAAACCAGAGTACAAATAGCTCAAGGTCTCTCCAGGTTCAGTAAAATGTCACCCACAGATACTCCATGCAACCAATCCTATTGGAATACATGCACTGTTTTCATAGGAGACAAAGAAAGAACTGATAGTATTTTTACAGTCTTCTACTTCCCTCTAGGCATATTTGAAGAACCACCATTTCCAGAATGCCAAGACACAACATTTCTGGGAAGCTCTGGAAATGGTATGTATCCAAACTCTCACTCTACTGATTTCAATTTCCTAAACATTTTATATTCTATGGCTCTTCTGTCAATGAGAGATCAGAAGCTAGGCAGCCTCCCAGCATATTACAGCATAACTTATTTCTAGGAACTTTATATTATTTCTTTATTTTTGGCACAAGAGTGTAGGGAGTGGAATAAGAAAAAAGAAAAGAGGTCTTGTTAACAAACAGCCTGCTTCTGAAACATCCCTCCTGCATTTCAAACTCATTTGATGGGTGAAAACACTCCTTATTCACCACACACTTACACACCACACCCTCAGTCATCTCTAACCAGATTCATGTGTTTGAAAGCTCTCAATATTATAAATCACCAACTAATCTTGATGCTTGTCTCCATCTCTATTTTCCAATTCTCAACAGGCTTGTTCTGTGCCACACCACTTTCTGATCTTTTCCTTTTTTTACTGCTGACCTGTTTTTTTCTATTCATTATTCTCTAGAAGCTTACCTACATAACCAGGTTCTTCCCTACTGCTATTTCTTTTCCTTCCCTTCCCTCAGGGTGGACGCACATCCAACCCAAGTTGCACGTGTCCCCTTTCTAGTTCCCTTTTTCTTCTTGATCTCATGCTTCTTCCTACTCAACTACACGCTCTCTCTGATTTTCTGCATCCTCACATCACCAAGTTTATCAGCAGTCTGAGGAGGCAGAAGCAACTTTCTCCAGCTCCAGCCTTTTGAACAGAAGTTCTTGTCCACAGAACAGACCAATCTTACGTTAGCTTAGCTGCTGGTGATAACAGCGGCTCCCCATTCACACGTGAAACAAAGCATGCTGCAATGCAGCTTCTAGCTTAAGAAGTCTTCTTATGTCCTTCCTGTCCTGTTCTATTACTTTAAAAAAAAAAAAAAAAAAGAGAGAGATCTTGCAGCTTACAAGGGGCCTCCCTTAAAGAGCCCTCAGTATTTCTTGCCCATGTTACCAGCCAGTCTCCTTCCCATGTACTTCTTATTTCCTCTGTCTGAGTTCAAGTTTGTAGATAATTCTTTCTATTAGAGATTGTTTTTCGTTGTTGTTGTTGTTTTTCTTTTTCTCTTTGGCCTGAGTTCGTTTTTGCCCTGCAACCTTCTTCAATCATTCACAGGCAAGTAATAAACCTGTGAGTGAAGTCATGGACACATGGACAAGGCAGATGGGCTACCCTGTTTTAGAGATGGGAAGTAATTCAGTACTCACACAGAAACGTTTTCTCTTGGATCCCAATGCAGATGCTTCATATCCTCCTTCTGATTTCGGGTAAGACTCTACTGTAAATACCTGTCCAAAATACCCTCTTACTGACATACAAATAGGCACTACTCTCCTTGGCAAATTTAGTGCTTGTTTTTTGTTGTTTTTTTGTTTTGTTTTGTTTTGTTTTGTTTTTTAATAGCAGGAATTTAGATGTAAATATTTACAAATTTAGGACAGCCTCAGCCCTTTGTCTCAGGGCTTCATCATCAATCACCACAGAATGAAACAGGACAGGGTCTCTCACAAGACCTTGTTTCCATATACAGACAGCTCAGATGATTGCAACATATCTGCTGAATTACTGCAAATTACAGTCTGTCAGAATAAAGAAAACACCACAAAATTGTCTTTACCCAGAAATCAGATATCATGATCCAGGTATTTTGTACTACACAAGCTTATTCCTTTTCCTACATGATGTAGGATGTATAACATAACACAATACAAGGTCTTCTCTACATCTCTTAAAAGCACAAATTACTATGAAATAGTTAGTCATTAATAAACAATACTGAGTCTTACCCAGAGCTATTTTCTTTCTATTTAGCTCAAGCTAGCATTGTTAAACTTAGCCTTAGTGCACTAAGATCTGGGGTAGCAGACTCAGGAATCCTACTTTTGCCTGAATTCAAGACTTGGAGTGCCTTGCCATTTGTTATTTCTTGAGTAGAAATCCCAGCTTGGTTCCTGTCTTAACCTGTTGGGAAGCTGAGCTTTATACTGTACCCACCATTCCTAAAGTGAGGACAGAATTTGGTTTTGACTGTGTAATGTTTATAGATGGCTTCAAAATAAACTGCAATAATATATATCATATTGCTGATATTAGCTATCTTGGGACAGACTTAACCTCTTGCCTAAAAGCTGATCTATTGAAAGTCAGTAACTCCCACTTACAGCCTCACAGATGAGGATGAGGAAGGTCCTGAAGAGAGTCTACTCCAAAATGGGACAGGCCACTTAATGTCTGGATGCAAGGTCTGATTTAAGCAGTGAAAACTATTAAGTCTTGTATATGTTTTATCCTCTGAAAATTTCAGGTCTGGTATCCTGATCTGCCTGCTTGTTTCAAGCTTGTTTGGCTTGAAAGAGTCCTCCCCTGAATGCTGACACTCAAAAGAAGTTTGAAACCTTGTGCTCTTAAAATAGTGCTACTGGGCAAATATGTAACTGCAGCATAGCACATCAGGAATGTGACCTCAACATGCACAGCTGGGAGAACACAGCTATTATATCTGATGCTTGGAAAAAGCATTTCCATGTGCAATCCCAAGACCATATAATGAAAACTAAATAAAATCCCTCCCCTATTAAATGCATTTCCAAACCATTTTAAAAAAACAATCTTTTACATGATTTCTCTTGAGGAAACACAATACTGAGGCTTCTGGTCAAACAATAACCTCTCTAAATTCTATTGCAATAAGCTACATAAGAGGACTCGCAAAAACTCAACGAGTATAAGTCCTTTTAAATATATACACATTTTTTTAGAAGATACAAAACAATAGCTGATGTTTCTTCATGGAGACAACAGGGCATACAATTACTTTCATTTTGGTATTTCCTGAAAATTAACGTCTAATCATTTAATACACAGCTGTAAACAAGTTTTCCTATTATAGCAATTGTCACCAAGCTGTTTATACAGAAGAAAAATCTCCCTGGGTTGGACTGTAATATGCTAACATGGATGCTAACAGCAGATGACTACCCAAAAGGGCTTAATAATTTTAGCAGCACTATGTGGGTGGTTGTGCAAGTACGCTCTCAACATGCTCTGCCATCCTCTTCCCCTGACTGCCCCTTCATAGTCTTGGTCTAACCTTCAAACTATTCTCAACACCTTTGGATATGGGGCACAGCCCAGACTGAGAAGCCTGCATCTATTCACTGTGGCTACTCAGGGATGTGAAGAGTGAGAAATAAGGTCAAATTTAGTATTTCAGTTTTCTCATCTGGAAAAAAGGTTTAATAACACTTAACCACTTGTTAATAACACTTAGCCACTTGTTTCAAGTGAGCACTGTGAAGATTAACTAGTGTCTGCACAGAGCCCTGGACATATTAACACTGACATGAGTCATCCACATACAATCACCTTTTACTAAATTAATTGCTGTGCTCCTTGTTAGATAATTATCTGACATGACATGAAGATGCTACTTAAAAGAGCTGAATGTTCCAGTGTCATGGTAATAAGCTACACAGCATAGCACACCACAAATTCATCTGCGCAATCTCTGATTATGGGTAATTACCCTCTCCAGCATAGTCACCAAGAGGGGGAGGCTGTATTCAGAAAGATATGGCCCTAACACTTATACTGATTTCCTTAAAAAAAAAAAAAAAAAAAAAAAGGATTCTCTGTAGGCACATAATCAACAAAGTAATAACTAAGACTAACACATCAACACTGGATTCTGGACAAAATCATACTCTACTCTCTTTCTCAGTCCACCAGATGCATTTTGAGAACTTTCTATAAATACAAAGGATAAGAGAAGCTATTTTTATTCTCCATCTCTAGAACATGAACACACTCAGACATTTCATGCTTTTTATTTTGCTTTTCAGGGAATATAACTGCCCCAATCATACCACAGCAATGTCTGACATTTTGTTCACTGAATAGAGTATCACAGTACAGAAATGTCTTTGTAACACAGACAACAGCTATTGGTAAAAAGCTAGGGAGGGTGAGTTATGAAGGATATTTGGTAGATGAATACGTGCACAAACACACAGTTGCTTCATAAAATGTGATGTACGCATTTAGCCCAATAAAAGCGTACGCTGGAGACTTATTTTTAGTATTTGATTTAAAATGTAATTTGATTCTCTTTCCCTTTAAATAATTTCAGTTACAAATGGAATATACCAGTGAAATGGAGACTGGGGAATTCAACAAATTACACAGTCTACAACACCTCTGATTCCGCAGGTAAACTTCCTCGACTCTTTTATGAGTAATAAATAGACAAAGATTTTCAGCGTCCTTCTTCAGTCTAATCACAGAGGACTCCATTTGAAATTTAACAAACCATCTGCCCCAATGTAATTCACTATTTTAACACGTGTCAATATCCAGTTCGTAATGCCCATACTAACTAATCTTTACTCAAAGCCATTAAAAACAAAAACAAACAAACAAAACCTAAGTTGAGGCTTAGATCTTATTTTGATATTCATTAAAACCAAATATTACTTTTGGAATCAAAGTATCTCCAGTGAGTTCTGTGTTATTTAAGGTGCACCAACTAATCACAATTTGTTTTTCAGGAATTACAATACCATCATCTGCTAGTACCTTTCTGAACATTAATCCAGACCACATTGGATTCTATCGTGTCAATTATGATAGTCAAAGTTGGGACACATTAGCGGGTCTTCTGGTCAACAACCACGAAGTAAGTGTCACAATATTAGTCTATCTGGTTGGTCTCTAACAGATATTTATAAAGGCAGGTGTTTTGGTTTTGTTTGTTTTTTTTTTTTCCTGCAAATAATCCATGAATTCTTGATGACTCTCATCCTCTTTTTGTACAGACTTTTTCCACTGCTGACCGTGCAGGGATTTTGGATGATGCCTTTTCCTTAGCAAGGTAAACTAATTCCCTGCAGAGTTCAACAGAAGCTTTTCACTTTCCATTTTCTATTAACTAGAATTGACTCCAGTGACCAAAAGAAAATTTCTGAATTTGTCTTGTTTTTCACCTTATGTTGCTCTTTTGAAGGAGCAAATAAGAGTATGTATTGGTAATCTGCAATATCAACATAGTCAAGGGAAATGCTCCCTTTCTACTTGGCTGAGGAAAAAAAACTCTTTAATTGCAGAGGTTTCAGAAAGGGGTACTTTTATCACATAGGAAACAATGATAGAAGTACTTCAGAAGAAGTTATGCGTTCAGAAAATCAGAGGTAATGCCTACAGTGCACAGCATGGCATTAGGAAGTTACCACCACCTCAGCTATCTTCCTTAGAAATGTGCTTGGAAACTCCTAGCTCTTGTACCCAGACTCACTGATGTAGATAAACTTTGGGTGAGCTCTGTAATGACCTCTAAGTCTGAAGCTCCTCAGTGCTTCAGGATGTCTACAGAACTAGCAATTTCTTCAGTATGACTGGAGTTAGTGTAGTCAGTTCTGGGAGCTCTGGGCCCCTGCATAATACAGGCAACTCCTCATTGCAAGAGCTCCTGCAATTAGGCATTGACCAAAAGTGATTTTTGGAAAACACCTCCCAGATTCCATTCCAGAATATTTATCCCCTCCTAAAATTTATTATTTCAGACCTTCTAAAGTGAGTAGTGTTCCAGCATCTTTAAAGAAGCAAGTTCTCCAAATCCATCAAAATAACAGAAGTTCTGTTTTCTCCCTTCTCAGGGCAGGACTTGTGGATTATTCTGTTCCCCTGAACCTCACAAAATACCTAATAAATGAAACAGATTATTTGCCTTGGCACAGAGCTATATCAGCTGTGACTTACATCGCAGACATGCTTGAAGACGATACAGATCTCTACCCCCAGTTACAGGTGATGAAGCAAAAATATATTCCTGCATAGGATCAATGGATCTGACAGCTGAGAATCTGCAATGGCAATAATATTGAAGTTCGATTGATTTTCAGTGTTGCTGAGGCTGTCAGTAATTAGTTTTTGTTACTGTACTCTTAAACAAATGCTGAAAACTGCTTAGCACTGATTTCTGAATTACCTGAACTGCCAGTTCAGGTCTATGCATTTGGAGGGAATAAATTATGCCTGCTTATTCTTATGATCAATCACCATAAGTCACTGTACAGAGACTTGTTTGTCAAGGCTGTCCTGCATAAACAAATAAGTACGTACAGGGCAGCAAGAACTCTGACACCTGTCCTCACCACGAAGGTGAGGAACAGATTTCTGCTGTGTTCTGGACCTCAGAGCAGGCACTCGTGTTCTCAGTGTGCAATATTCTTCAAGAAGTAACAATATCAGTGTATCTCAACATGGCAGTAAAAAGATTTGACAGTTGGTCTGAAGCTGATCATGATTTAATGGTCACTAAAATAACTATGTCCTCGAGTCCAGATTACCCTTGGGAAGAAGTTATGGCAGTGTGCCATTGCCATACCCTGGCTTTCATTTTGGGGCAAAGACAAAGCTGGAGAAAAGCAGGCTGACTTTTGTTCTACCTGCATATCAGTGTTGCAAGAAGGAATGCATGAATGTGTTCAGATTTGACATGTCATGGTGAGCTGAAAAGATCATGTGCGTGTGTCTTTGTATCCCTTTTCATTTAAGATACGGTAGTTCTTGGAAAATGAAAGGGAATAAATTATAAATATACTGCCATTTAATGAAACCTATACAAATAACCATCTCTCTTTTTCTACCTCAGGAATATTTTCGCTATCTGGTAAAACCCATTGTGAATAAACTGAACTGGAATGATTCTGGAAGCCATTTGGACAGGTTGAACAATATCTTTACTTTTTTTTATCATATTATTGATGGATTCAAGGAGTGCTAAGCAGAAGGGAAATCTTTCTCTCTCTCTTCCTCTCTCTTTTAAAGGCTTCTTCGTGCATCTGTTCTAGACTTTGCATGCAGTATGAATGATGCAGAATCTCTTGATGGTGCTTCTCAACAATTTGAGCAATGGCTACAAGGACAAACGTGAGTTCTCATGGGTCCTGGCAAAGGACTGTATGTGACTTGGTCACAAATCACCAGCAGGAAAAGAGGGAAGAATATTGAAATACTTTTTTTGTTATTCTAGCATTGCTGTAAATCTCAGACTCCTGGTATATCGCTATGGGATGCAGAATTCAGGCAATGAGTCATCATGGAATTACATGTTCAAGACATACCAGGAAACTTCGTTAGCACAAGAAAAAGAAAAACTCCTGTATGGCCTGGCATCAGTGACTAACATCACCCTTTTGGACAGGTGATTTCAATGCACAAGGATCATTCTTTCCCTAGAGCTGCAACTATTCACTATTTACTCTTTCATTTCTCCTCTTTCCTGTGCATTTTTGTCAGATTACAGCATGCAGAACTCAACACATTCTCAAGAATCGTTATTTAACACCCACCTCTGAGACTGCATTATAGCAGAAAAAAAGCCTTGATACATTAGTGGACAGATATTGAACACATGGTAGTTTCTGCAAAAGATCAACAGCCTTCAGCTTTTCCAACAATGCCCTGTGTAATTTTAGCTGCCTAACAGTGAGGCATCAGGAGAAAATTCTTCTACATTTCCTCTATAATCAGAAAAGAAAGACATGACTTCCAGAGCACTGTTCATCCCAAACCAGAAACGGGAACCCATCAATGGGAAAAACTGCATTCAGCAGTGGGGAATCTGGATACTGTACTGATCTGTGCAGCTGTCAGACCAGATGAGTATCTCCCCAGGCTGCCACTCTGCTGGGATGCAGCAACTCCTTTAAGTGTATCTCACACCTTGGCATGTAGCTGTACCATAGAGCAGAGCTGCTGGCAAATGTCCTCACTGGAGCCATTTACCTCTTTGTTGGAGCCCTGTTTAAATATCACAAAATGGAGCGGTCTGCTTGAAAGAGTTCCAAGTTCAGACCAGATGGAATAAGGAAATATAGGAGATACAGGAAGAGTAAATATAAAAGATAATTAGAATAGTGGTAGTAGGCAACTCTATTCATAATTTTTGTAGCCATAACAGCCATAACCTAAAGCCATTTGATAACTAATCACTGTCAGGATGAGGACACAAATTAATAATCTAGATCAACCTAAATTTGCAGAAAAAAAAAAGAATTACTCCTAAATTAGGGAGAATGTATCTGTTAATTTACTATTAAAACAATAAAGGAGGGAAAAAGAGCAAACAGTTTGAGAAAATTGTTCCTGACGCTAGCATACAGGAAAGAAAGAAGAGAAGCTCTGCTTCTTTTCTAAAGAGATGTCTAATTATTCAGGCTTCTTTCAGTATACTATTATCTCTTGATACAGTTTTCAACAGATAGATTCTTACGGGATTTCTCTTAGGTATCTGAAATACGTCTACAACTCCAGCCTCATCAAAAGCCAAGATGTGTTCACAGTTGTGAGATACATTTCCTATAACACCTATGGAAAAACAATGGCCTGGGACTGGATTCGTCTTAACTGGGAATACTTAGTTGACAGGTATGCTAAGGAACTCATTTGGAATTTTAGATCTACATCCACCTCCTTCTATATCTTCACTACACAGCTATAATCACTGCCTTTTTTTTTTTTTTTTTTTTTCTGGAAAGGTAAAGTTTGTGATCATTCTATAATTTCCATAAAAGCAAGAGGTTCTTATAGTCAGCTTCTTTGTATTATGGAAACAAAAAGCATACTCAACACAATCATGGCCACCTGCTATGAAAAAATATTTTGCCACTAACATAAAAAACATTCTTTCCCTAAGAGACCACTACCAAAAAACTGTGATTAAACAAGTATAAAAAGTTCTAGCAATGTGTAGAAATCTTGTAATTGGATGGAAATACTCCTCAATAGTCGTGTCTCTACTCTGATGTAGAGTTTTCTTTTTATAGATTTCATAACAATAAGATGGTGCACAGAGAGGTAATATTACAATTCCTTCTGGTGGTGATAGCAACCAGCATAGGTGAAGATGAGCAGCTGAATTAAGAGTACACTATTTAGTTTTGCTCTTCTCTCCTTCCTTCCCCTTTTAAACAATGTGTGAAGACACAGAAGCCAAACATACCTGACAGTCTAGAGCTGTGAACCAGACTGCATTTCTGTTGCTCAGCAGTTTGGTTCCAAAACAGCAGGAAGTCCTGGGAGGAAAAAAAGTCTTTAAACACACTATTTCCAATGTGAAACAATAAGCTATTGGCTGTAAAATTAAAAAGTAAAACAAAATAAAACAAACAGAAAAGATTATTCCTTTAGTAGACATATTTTAGAACATGTATCATAGAACATATGAAGTATAGATATTCTGTAGGACCACTATTTTTCAAGTATTTCCAAAAACACCAGAATCTGGGTGCATGTTCTGTTGTACTGCATTTAGAAGTTTAAGCTTCAGATAACTGATTGTGCCCTTTATTTTGAACAGTTTTGCATCAAATGTTGCTTGATGTTTTGTTTTGTTTTCCTAGATTCACTATCAATGATAGAACCCTTGGTCGCATAGTAACTATCAGCCAAAACTTCAACACAGACCTCCAGCTTTGGCAGGTACTGTGCCAGCATTTCTCTTGGTTTTATGTCAGCGTATTTTGAAATCTACTGGTTGGAAAGCTTGTTTTTTTATTCACCAAGTGTGTATAGCAGCATGAATTACTGTAAAACTATTCCAGTACTACAAGCCAGAACTTTAATATTTTACTTAGTCAAAATTGCACTTATCTGGTCCCCGTAAAAACATACTTGCCCAATACTAGTGTTATTTTTTTCATGACAGTTCTTTCTCTCTCTCTTTTCCAGATGGAAAATTTCTTTGAGAAATATCCTAATGCTGGGGCAGGAGAATCACCCAGGAGTCAGTCAATTGAGCAGGTGAAGAACAATATTCAGTGGCTGAAAGAAAACAAGGAGGAGATACGAGTGTGGCTAGAGGCATGGACAAGTCCTTGAAGTCTTTGTTAAAAACATCAGGCACTCATTCTGGGCACGCAGATCCTCAGATATTTAGCAATGTGGATTTCTCAAGTAGGCAACTTAGAGGACCAAAGTCTAATATTTTTTCTACAGACACTCAGGAGACTAGGCCAGAGCAATGTTTGTGTAGCTGCTTATCCTGGATCCTGCCAGTGCTTATGAACATGCTTTATATTTTGAGATATTAATTTCCCTGAACAAATATTTGAAGTTATTCAGAGCAGAAGTGATGGCAGAATTGGGGTCCTTGCTGATCAAGTTAGTGTCAGATCTTCCATGAACCACTCTGAAAATCTACTTCTTGGTTCATACAGAAGTATACTCACTACACTCAGGGATTCCTTCCCAAGTGCACCTTGTGGGACCTTTGGGTATTAAGCAGCAATATTAACTTTGTCTGAAAATCATCCCCTATATTTATATCCATAAAAATTTTACATTTGGAATTTAGCTCTGCGTTCTTATACTACAGAAGGGTCAGTTAAGCTTCCTTCTGCACTGATTTTGGAAGTTTAACTACAGGTACACAAGTGATCAATATTATCGGCTTCTTTTTCAATGTTATCAGTTGAGATTCTGTAGCTTAGGGAAGCAGATGTCTCAGTTATTTTTGTCTTATTTCTAAGTCTCATCAAAAGAAGAACTTACTGCAGCCATTACTGCAAATAAGACAGATGGTACTTTGTCTCTTTTCTTAAGGAAAAATAAAATTTAAAAATCTACCTGGAAATTTGCCTTTTTCTAATAAAGGGAAAAGCATACAGAAAAGCAGCTATTTCATTGCCCAGCTATATGGTACATACTGCTGTAGTGATCTTAAAGGGGGAAAAATTTATTATCGTCTCTTCAGAACTAAAAAAATACAGCAAAATGAGGTAGAGGGAGCAATGCAGTCCACCGCAGAAGCAGAGGAAGCAAATAAATGACTCTCCATTCCCAGTCCCTCTGTCATTGCTAGACTGAAGAAAGGCACTGGGGCATCTCTGCCTGCCTGCCTGCCTGCCCTGGGTTGTGCTCTGACACGGCACAGATAGCACACATCAGCATCCTCATAACCTTCTTCCCTGCTCTTCTGAGTGGAAAGGAGCAGCAGGAGTGAGTCAGCTTGAGCTGACCCCTGTCTGAGTGCCCTGGGAGCAGGACTGTAAGCAACTTCTCTTAAGTGAGAGAATCTGAGAGAGGTGAGGCACAGCTGTCTGGAAACTACAGAGGGATGACAGAAGTATGGAACAACATTGTCTTTCCTTCATCCATTCCAAGGGATAGCATTGAAGAGATGGCTCTAATGTACAGAAATTCTGGGGTACAAAAGAAGCATATATAAAGCCCAGGTGGAAAGACTTTACCCCACTCCTCCAGGAGATTTCAGGCTGGTAAAAGTTTGGGTCTCTCCCAAGATACCAGACAGCTGTGACAAGCCCAGACAGACCTGGTGACCAAGCCAATTATTCTGTGAAAGGAAAATGTCAGCAGCCATTTACCTCATGTAAACAAAACACGACAGGGTGTTGACTAACAGTGGTAACAACTTAATGTAGATGCCAGCTTCTCTTCAAGGCAAAGAGTCAGCAAAGGGCCAAGCAATTTCTTCCAGCTTTCCTTACCACTCACTCTGACACGCAGAGAACTGTGAGAGTGAAGCAGCCACCCAGATGCAAGCCACCAGCAGATCAGGATGTGGGCAGAGGGCTGGCCCTGTTCAGCTGCCTGCTCAAGAAGAGATATGGCAATTCACCTCCATTGTTTCCTTCTTTCAGGGAGTGAAATTGAAAGAACAGAAGGCACCTGTCTTGGTTTCAAGGTCACAAACTGGTTTGGTTGCCCCGCATTGTAATACTATCAGCATGTTGTAATGTTGTGACTCTGTGATCAGCTAACAGAAATTTCTTTTGTGCTATCAGTGCTGTATGCTCTGACTGAAGGTTTTTAACTCCACCCAAGCATGGCATGTAACAATACAGAACTGAGATGAAGATGCCCAAGCATGTAGATCACTGGTTTCCCCTTTAAGAAAAGACAATAAAATTTGGCAGAAACGACTGATCCTACAGCCTTTCCTATGCTTCTGCCACAATTCACTATAGGAAGAAATGTATGAGATACTATGGGAATTAGATAAGATTAAATAGTTACTTCCAGGGATTTCTATCCTTTGTCATATGTAGATCCTACTACCACTGAGGGGGATCAAGCTTGCCAACCTTGTTAGCTACAGTAGGAAGCTGTCATCAGGGAAAGCAGTCAGGAAGATTTACTACGCTGTTGGAAAGCTCTAGCAAAAGCAGCCTTCAAGCAAATCCCACAGACATACCACTGGGCACATATTGGCAGTATTATGTATCGCTGTTGTACGAAGAAAAAAAAAAAAGTAAATTGGAGAGAGAGAGAGAAAAATATCACCAAGGTAAAGTGGGAGCTGAGGACAAGCCGGAGCAAGTGCTGGGCATGTGACCTTGCAGTGTTGAAAGGGAGAAGGGGATTTGAAGTAGCCGACTAAGCAATGGCTTCCCATCTTTAAAGTCCTACTCTACTCAAGAAAACAGGAGGACCATGTGCAGTGTTTGTGTCTGAGTGGTACTGGATCAGAGAGATGTTAGGCGAGTACTTGGGTGCTTTTGATGTTATAGGAAGGTTTGTTGGATGTCTGCATTGATCTTAAGTGGGTAGGTGAATGTGGAAGTAAATCCAAAAGCCCCAGAAGAAGGCTGCTTTTATAGCGGGATAAAGATCCTGTCAATTTTAAATAATGTTCTCAAGATTATGCAGTGCTCTTGCTACCTCTAAATGGCTCATGGAGAATGTTCTGTATGGCATGTGTCTCTTTCAGACTGTTTGTCCTAGATGGATAACAAATCTGGTACATGCTAAATCTTTCGGTCAGGAACTAGTGCGTTTACAAATGGTCTGTGATAAGCTTAAGAACGCCAATGTGAAACTGAATCCAAAGAAATGTGAACTGTTTTAAAAAGAGATAATTTTCCCTTGGTCATTCGATCAGCAAGGAAGGAATTTCCACTGATAAAGTCAAGTGAGGGAGTGCAGAACTGGCTGGCCCCTTAGACCCACAAAGCTTTTGGAGGCTCTGCTGCTCTTATTGTACCAGAGTGAAAACGATTGCACACAGAGAAGTAGAAAAACGCTTTGAGTAACCTAAGTGCGATGTGGAGTTTAAGAGGGGCCACTGTTGTTGTGACTGTTCCAGTGTTGCCTTACCCCGGCCTTACAAATCTTTTTCATATCAGCCACAGCTGTGTATCCTATAAAGCCTGTGGCCTCAAGAGACCATAAACTTGATAGGCACATGAAAATGCTTTATCTTGATGATTCAGGTAAAGAAATAACTGAAACCCCACAGAATTATATTACCTCACAGAAGAAAACATAAAATGAATAGCAACGATGAAAATTCCATGAGGTCTACAACTCCTCAGCTGAGCCAGTTTCTAAAACAGCAGTTAAGATCTCTACAATGTATTCAGACATAAAGAAATACCATATACCTATGTTTCACTGTTGAAATAGGTCATTATTAGGAAATATCCCTACAGTCATCCTACAGTGATCAGAGCTATTTCCTGCCTACCCCCATTTTGGGTGATGGCATCTTCCAGCAGCTTTGAGGATATAAGATGAAAATCAGTTTGTGGTGTGTATAGGAGAGACCAGCCCAGCAGGGTTAGAAGGATGGGGTCTCACACCATTGCTATCAGGGCAATACTATACTTCCAGGCAAAGACTTCATCTTGTGCTATGTGTGTCCACTATGAAAGTTTGTCAAACAGGGCTGTGCTCACTCCCCCTAGTACCTAGACAGAAGCCAGCTGACATGGAGGTATCCCAATTTCACACCCACATTTACAGCAGCTGAATGTACACTTGTGCATGGGAAAACTGGTTCAGGAAGATAGAGCTAGATCAGACTAAGGAGGTGTCCTCCAGCTCACAGGCTCTTGTGGGTGCCCAAATGTCTGAGCTTTTCCAAGATGTGCTCTGGAAAAAAATACAAATCTATTTACAAGAACACCTGAAATGCATTTAGTTCAGATAAAGCTGAGAGGTTTTGTATTCCTGGAATATATTGTAAGTTGTGAGTGAGGAACAAATCCTGAAAAACAAAGCCATGACATACTATTCGAGAGATCCTGCTCTTAAGTAGTTGTTCTAGTAATCCCTCACACACAGAAAACCTTTCCATATCAACTCTCTCTTCTTCACACATTGATGTCCAGAGATTGCTGTCAGCTGACACCTGCCTACAGATGATTTAATGATGCTGAAGCAATGTGTACAGGTGGTCTCAAGAAGCAGGCAGGCAGGGAAAGGAAGAGATTCAGACAAGAGAGAAGACTAACTCTGCAAGAGGAAGGCTGGGGGTACAGAATTTTTCTTCTTAGTAAGAATTAAGTCTCAACTTGAAATCGATGCTGCAGTTGTATACATGATATGCACTGTACAACTTTCATTCGAGCTTAACCATCCATGCTAGCTTTGCTTTGAAGATGGATGAAATGGCCTCTAAACATACTTTCCAGCACTTCTGGGTTTTTTAAACCATTTGCAGTGAGTAAGACACTGATCACTGATACATTTTCTTCCAGGGAGTGCCAGGCTAAGTGCATCTGAGGCTGTCACAGCAACTTTCTCAGTCTGTATTGCCTGCTATTAGATGCACTCACAAACTGCTGTTTGGTAAGTCAATTTGATCAGGAACTACATACCCTAGAGCTACAGATCTCGTATCTGTAGTAGGTCTGCACCTTGAGCAGGATGCTCTCCAGAAAGTAGACAATGTAGCCATCAGCCAGAGCAAAAGTTTCACAACATCATGGTAAGAACTTGTTATGCCACTGGTCAAGTTCACGTGAGCTGAAATAGTTGCTGAATATCTACAAAGCAAATTTTGCAGGTGTCTGGTGGGTAGTCAAAAACAGATTTGATTCATTTATTTTAGTAAATAGTCTCTTTCATCAAACTGAAATTAAGGCCACCCACATTTGTTAAGCAACTTCAGATGGAGAAAACACTTTGTGCTTAAAGGTACAAAATCACAAATGAAAAGTCATCAGCTGCCTTTGGACTGGAGCATTTACAACAAAAGCAAACAGATCAAGGCTTCTTTCCCCTCCACAGAAATGCACATGAACTCTCCTACATAACAGTATACTGAACCTAGTCTTTCAAATTCCCACATAGTGCTTAAATAATAGTCAGGAATAAAAGCAAATGAATAGCTTTCTGGTTTGGTCTGTCATTGAGCATCTGAAAACACAGGAGCACCAGACTCTTATATTTTATTATTACTTTAAGTAAAGATGGATGTCTTTAACAGAGGTGCTAATAAGCTCAGATCTGCATCAGTATGCCCTAAGCAATTACAAATGTTGAGGAGCAAAATTCAAAAATACAGTGGTTTGAGCAATAGCCCGAAGGGGAAGGCATGTGGTTAAAAACTCTCTCCAGCAGAAACAATAATTCACCACCTCCCACTCAAGGTCTCCAACCACTGCATGTAGCGGGTGTTCCTCTGCTCTGGCACTCTGGTAAATGCAGCCCTTCTTTTACCTCACCATGTCACAGACCTCAAGCCAAAAGACTCGGTCCTGTGGAAGGAAACATTTCTGTGTCAGGCTAGACAAGATTTCAGCCTTTCATTTCCTCAACTCAAAACAAAGCTTCATTCAAGCTGC